CCTTAAGGGCTATCTTCAGATGTCCATCTTCCTTCTTCTAGGCTTCTGTGGAAGTGTGGATGCTTCTTATACTGTGGTTTAGCATCCTGAGACCCCTAGTTTGTATTACAATGGGTGATGAGAGTCAAACCACAGGTATTGATCAGTGTAGGTTTTCTGTAGATTTCTATTCTTAAGAGGCCATTAGATCCTAGGATGACTGCACAGTCCAGGAAAGCCAGCCAGTTTTCTTTGTTGTCTTCCCTGGTGAACTTGATATTTGGGCCCACTGCATGTATGTGGTCTATGAAGGCCTGTACTTCCTGAATCTTCACCCAACATTTCAACCTAATAAGGAAGAAGTCCAGTTGCCATGACTCAGCATCCAAATAACCTCATCTGGATGCCTGAGAAGCTTCATAGATATATTACAGAAGAAGCAACAAAAAGCTCGGGGGAGGGGAGGAGAGAGAGTTTAAGGATTAAGAGATTTAATTTACTATAAGATTCCTGGACTGCATCCCAGTTCATCAGATGGATGACAAGGGTTGCCATTTACAAAAGCTTTTTCCAGAAAAAAAATATTACTCTTTAAGGAGCTGCAAGACCTCTTGGTTGGTTGGTTAGTAGGTCTATAGGTTTTGTTTTGCATGTTGGCCAATACTTCATGCATCTGGCATAGTGGACTCTGGACTATGAAACTCTGTGAAAGTATCTTGAATATGCAATTTGATTCAGTTATTTGTAATACAATTAGTGATGAGCGATGGCACCTTCCTCTTTCATATCTGCATCATTTTGTGAACATTTTGGTTTTGTGTTACATTTCATTATTTAAAAGACACTTTTGCTCTCTCTCTGATGATGACACCAATGTGCTAAGATACTTGGACCAAATGTTGGAAACAGCAGCAACCCCTTATTTCTTATAGCAGTGCTTGGCCATTTGTGAATTTTAGGTTGGATCTGAACTCACATCAGCTCTCGGTAATATGGTCCATGATGAGAGACGATGGAACTTGTACTCCAATAATATCTGAAGGTCCTCATGTTGTCCACACTAGTATGGTGTGACCATTTGGAGGAGTATATATGAGTGCCACCAAACTTTTATTTAAAGACATAACTGGAAAACGCCAATAGCCTTCCCTCAAA